GTTGTCCACTGATTTTGTTAACCCATGTGATGTTTGGTTTCCAGGCTCTTAACACTTTTGCAGTGTGCACTGAGCACCGCAACATTCTCCTCCAAGCAGCCAATGACAAAGAAATGCATGACTGGCTGTATGCATTCAACCCACTTCTGGCAGGAACTATCAGGTATTTAAAATTAAATTATTATTTTATTTTATTTCAGTATTTCACCACACAAAAACTGCGGTTACAACAAACTAGACAATTTCTTTAAAAAAATTTTTTTTATATATTTTATTTTACCACATTGAGCACAACCTGTCTGTGTTGAACACTAGTTTTGTTATTGTTAGCTAACATATAGTTTTTGTTAAAATAATTTAATTAAAATAAAGCTGAAACAAAATAAAATATAAATATTAGAAAAATAAAAAAGCTATAGGATCTGAGCTATAAGGTTCGTTTTGGTTCATTGCACAACCGCTCCACTGCTAAGATAATCAGCTTTCTTAAAGTTTCTTTGTTTATAACATTTCTCTCTCTCTCTCACTCACTCTCTCTCTCTTTTTTTTTTTACCCAAAATTAGAGAGCAGTGATGCTAAATTACCTGTTATTGATACACTAAATGCAAATACATCAGCATATTTTCACCATTGGATGAGGGAGATTTTATTTGTTATATCACATATTTCAAAAGAACTCAAATTAAAACTAAAATTGAAATGAAAATATAAAAACAAAAGCTGATTCAAAATTCAACAAAAACTATAATAGTATTTCAATGGAAGGGTGCTTCTACTCTAAATACTGAGCATGTGATATTTCAGTTTTTTTTTTTTAATAAATCTGCAAAAATGTCAACAATTCTGTGTTTTTCTGTCAATATGGGGTGCTGTGTGTACATTAATGAGGAAAAAAATTTAACTTAAATGATTTTAGCAAATGGCTGCAATATAACAAACAGTGAAAAATTTAAGGGGGTCTGAATACTTTCCGTACCCACTGTATATGTATATGTGTGTGTAATACTATATAAATAATACTCAAATAACACTCTTGTGTTTTAAATTGGTTCAAATTATCTACCAATAATTTGAACCAAAATGTCATAGAGTTAGATTGGACCAAAGATCTTTGATATCAAAACAGACTCTGGACCATTTTTTGGGTTGCAGCTCAGCAGTTGAGAACCACAGCTTTAACTGGTCATGATCAATGATATTGCTGAATTTCTCCTAATCTCTCTCTCTACCCACAGGTCTAAGCTTTCCAGGAGAAAATCAGGACAGATGAGGATGTGAAGAGTTTTTTTTTTTTCCTCTGGCTGAAACAACAAACAGATAGCTAACAGGCCGTTGTGGTGTAATTAGGTCATGTGATCATAAGTGCCCTATCCCCATGTCATCACAGCTGCCTCTTGCCTGCCCATCCCAGCATTCCCATCTCAGTCTGTCCATGCCAACCATAGACTCTGGGCCTGGCTTCACAGGGTGTATGTGTTTATGTGTGTGTGTCAGGCCATATTTAGTGTAAATTTACAACACTGAAATATATTCAGCACTTCCCGCTAACATAGCTACAAGCTAGAATGGCAAAACAGCATCTTAGACACGGCCCTACTTTTAGTTCATTTGTAAATGCGACTCAACGCTCTGTTTGTGTATGTGTGCTTCTGCAGAATAGATGTCAAGTGCTTTTACCTGGGCTTCAGTAGTTGCCTCTTGGTTTTGATCTGTCATGATCATTGTGCTTCATGAAGGGATGCAGAGCTTATTTCGAGGTCACCTTTTATGCAGTGGACGACAGAAGATTGCAATAGACTAAAAAAAGAGGTAAATGTCCATTATTTTGACACAAATCAGCATTGGAAAAGTACAAAACGTCTACCATACAGAAGTTTATTTTGTGTTTTTATTTTCATCTGTAATGTCTTTTTTACATTACATCTTTACGTTTACTTATTTATTAAGCATTGTATGTTTTATAAACATCATTTATTAAGAGGTCACTATTTGTAGTGTGCCACAAAATAATTTTTCACCTTGCACTTTTGATAATGAGCGTTATTTACCAGGTTCATTTGCACAAGTGATCTGCTGCTAAGAGAATCCGCTTCTTTAATCTTTTCTTTATTTACAACTTTTCATTATTTGCGCACAAAATTGGAGAGCTGTGATGCTAAATTACCGGATATTGCTACACTGAACGCAGATACATCAGAGCACATTCGATTATTTCGGTTACATCACATATTTCAAATAACATTATCCAGGAAGTTTCTGTATAGCTTAATTGCATCATAGTTCTTCATTTGTAACTGCTATGTTCAGCTCATCCCAGCCTTACATGTTATAATATATTGAATATCTGTATTCAGACCTCTTACACAGAGAAGCAGCAATAAGATCAAGTCTTGTAAGAGAAGATCGAGTTTTAGTGCTCCAATATGTAACAAAAAGTCTGATAGCTTTTACCAAACATTTTGTGATCACCAATATAGTAATTTTTATTTAGCTTAGCTAAACAGTTCATTATTTTGTAAGCATATACACATACACCTGGTTTTTGCTCCACCCTTTGCCTTGAAACTATGAAGACGGTGTATACAAAGTATATAAAACTGTCATGACGGTTACATCTTAGAGGCATTACCTGAGGCCATGTATGAATCTCTCTTTTGGCTTGGTTTAAGCTCATACTATTGGTCAGTCAGCCATTTAGCATGTTGCTCATGTTGCTGTTACAGATATCATGAAAGAGCATTGATGTTTTGTGCCATGGGTCAGCCAACCCAAAGAGCACAATCGTAGCAGCAACATCTAGTTGTGAACATAGCCGAGAGAGTTCAGCAGTTCTGGTCTTTACCTCTCAAAATGGTTTCTTAATAAGCAGCAGTATAAGTATGCCTTGATGGACTCTTACATGGAATATGGATCTGAAATGTAAATTAGAGACAGATGTTTAGGTTTTGGACAATATTGACAGTCATACAGTACCTCCCAGTGCCCTGACGTTTTTTTTATCCATTCCTGTCTTTGATAATGCTATGTATATGATAGCATGCTGTACATATTTATTCAGCTTTTAAATTAAATGTATCGAATGTATCTCATTTACCTCCATACAGTATAAGAGTAGCATTTACATAAAGATAATAGATGCAGTTGTATTATTTTACCAAATTGAAGGATCATAGTCGACTTATGAGCATGTGGTGTTCGCATTGACACGGTGCCCTGAAAACAAAGCATTCAACAAGACTTTGTCAACATTGCAGAAAAACAAGATTTTTAAGGTTTGTAGTCTCTCTTTCACTCTCAATCGATCCTTTGTGTTACCACGTCTTTCCGAGCATCATTTCAAATAAACATGTTTCATCCATCCAAATATTCCAAATTTAAAAAAAGAAGGAACTCAATATAAACTAAGTGTACCTATTGTAATTGCTTCAATATTTCTGTTGATTTGCTCTGTATATAAACCCAAGTGTGGTCTACCACACTTGGCTGTAACCACTTTATACCATAATGAATGGGCTGTAGTGTACTCAGTGCTCAAGTTCTTTGAGTGTTGGACCTGTGTCTTCTAATGTCTGTGGACACTTAACACTTTGTCAGGTGTGAAATAAATGTGAAATATGCGCAATGTTGCTCGTGTCAGGACTTCTTGTTTAAGTCAGAGGTGCCCCAACTTTTTAATATGGCCAAAACTTTGATTCAGGGCCATGGGCTGCATGTACAGTAAATACTGCATTACATCTCTATTAAAGTATATAAATTTTTTTTTTTTTTATATATATAAAAAAAATAAATAAAAAAAAAAAACAGGCCAACTTTGGCTCGCAGACCCTAGTTTGGTCAACTCCGATCTAAATTCTCTCATTTAAAATGTTGTAATAGAATATCTGTATTCAAGCCTCTTACATGGTGTTTTCCTAGCAAGGTGCCAAGGAAATAATGTCTTGAGAGAACATCCAGTTTTGGCATCTCTGATCTAAATGATAAAGTAATTTAAAATATAAATCATTCTTGCATACATTTGGACAAAACAATAAGCCTTTTAGTCCAAAATTACTACCTGCTTCCTTGATCAATTATGGCCTTATAACTTTTCAAAGTAATGCAGTATCTGGGAATATTGTCACGGTGCGTGTGGGGAGATGAAGCGAGGACTCAAGTGCAGGAGAAATGGTTGTTTATTTAATAATAAAAATGAAACAAAAACAAACTCAAACCACCCCGAAGGGGTTTCCGAGAGGGTGGCAGTGCAGCTTCGTCTGCCATCTCCGGGGGCGCTGCAGCTTAATCGGCCACCTCTGGGGGCGCTGCAACCTCTTCGGCCACCACCGGGAGCGCTGCAGCTTCATCAGCCACCTCCGGGGGCGCTGCAGCCTCTTCGGCCACCTCTAGGGGTGGCGAGGCGGACCCATTCTTCATAAAAATATATAATATTAATATTTTATATAATATTTAATATTATTACGTTTTTTTTAAAGGCATTTTATATTAATTTACATTCACTTAAATTGAAAGAATGCCAATATAGTTATCATGAGATTATGTTTGCATATTTAAACTATATGTTAGAGCTCAGTGAGTAATGCAAGCATTGTCACGGTGCGTGCGGGGAGATGAAGCGAGGACTCAATTGCAGGAGAAATGGTTATTTATTTTGATAATAAAAATGAAACAAAAACAAACTCAAACCACCCCGAAGGGGTAAAACAGACAGGCAGGTTTAAAGCTGCACACATACAGACACGAAACACACACAATGAGAAATGACGGATCAGCACAGGATGACAGACACCAGGAGAATAAATAGGAACCAAACGAGGAGGCTAACGAGGGAGACACAGGTGGAGCAACTTAAACAATAACGAGGTAACAAGATGGGAGGGGCAAGACAATAGACAGGAGAGAGCACATGGCAACAGACAACACAACACAAGCCATGTGCTCACCGAACACAGTCATCTGGTGGCCCTCCTGGGCACACCCGCTGAAGACTGTGACAAATATAAGCAGATGTATATCATCACATGAGGGCTCTTTTTCACTTCTAATTATAGCTTAGTATCTCATAATCTCAACCTTTTTAAAAAACGGTCTCATAATTATGATTTACCAAAGCATTACTTTTTTGTCAGAGATAATCTTCTAAAGAAAGAGGGTTATTTAAAAGTTGTGTCGCATATGCAGTCTTCTCTCATATACAATGTAAAAGGAAAGTCTGATTGATTCTATAATAAATCGATTCATCTGCAACTCTTTTTATTTTCTCTGATATAGCATTTGAAAGTCTGATTCATTCTTGTGAATCAATTCATTTGGATGATTCGTGTAAATGAACCGATTAAAAAATGATTCACAAGCCCTGGTTTTGGCATCTCTTATCTAAATGATCTATTCTAAATATATGATCTTAAATACATTTAACATATGATCACTTGCATCATTTAAGGATTAAAAAAAACAAACATTTTAGTCAAAAATTACTTCCAGCTTCCTTGTTCGTTTACAATCTTTCTAACTTTTCAAAGTAATACATTGTTATCATATCGGAATATAAGCAGATGTATGTTTTCACATGAGGGCTCTAGTTACATTTCTGTCTCAGTGCTTATACACCCCCTTCATCTCTCCCACGGACATCTGTCAGCAAGCTCAGGTATCATTTTAGAGAGGGAGCGAGAGCCGAGAGAGACAGTTGGGTACAGCCCAAGGACCCCTGCCACTTCTGGTCTGTCTGGCCGAGGTCTAGCATGGTGCTCCACAGGGCCATTCAGGCCACTCATGACGGGGATACGGAGGCTCTGAGGGCCCTGCATGAGTCCGGATGTCTCACAGATGCCCAGGGAGCTTCTCCCGTGCCCCACGCCGCCCGCTGCGGGCAACTGGACTGCCTGGATTTTCTGGTGAATGAAGGTTGTTTCCCCTGACACACTCGTATGAAGAACGGCGCCACGGCCGCCCATGATGCTGCGGCCACCGGGCACGTGCGGGAGCTGCAGTGGCTGCTGAGACAGAAGAAGTGTGGGATTGAGGTGAGTGCCATGATGTATCGAAAGATAAATGACATTTGACAGCTGGATTGATGGTGCTCTTGAGGATGGGCTGCTGTGTCAGTTTCCTTTACTGTCAATTACACAGGTCATTGATGATGGATGTACAATGTGAGTAAAGAAGCACCTCTTTTATTAATATCACTGATGGTATAATAGCGTATCAGTATATTGAAAGGTCATTGTGATGCACTACTTACTATCCCCATAATTCAGACGCCTTCAAACTGGGTACTGGATGCTAATGTTCGTCTTTGTGTCCGACTGTGGCCTACAGGATCGTGATGGCGAGGGAGCGACGGCCCTGCACCTGGCTGCCAGGTTTGGCCATGCGGAGGCAGTACAGTGGCTGTTGTTTGAGGGAGGAAACACAGAGGCAGAGACGGTTTGTGGAGCTCGACCTGTCCATTACGCTGCAGCCAGTGGAGATCTCACTTCCCTCAAACTGCTCATGTCCTACTCCCCAAGGTAAAGCTCACAGACAGTTACGCCATCCCTGATTAGCTAAGCACTCAACTCATAGTACATTTCACATAACCAGTGTACTTTTAACCATAGCTTGTCAAGTTAGAAGATAAGAAGTAGTGGACTCATGTAATTTCAAGTATTGAACTGTTCTTTTAAAAAAGTGGCTGGTTGCAAATTACTGACAAAAAGTACATAACTATGTTTAAGCAATTTAAAGGGATAGTTCAGCGTAAAGGGAAAAATCATTTACTCACCTTCATGTTGTTCCACACCTGGCTGTGTGACCTTACTACTTCTGTGGAACACAAAAGAAGATATTTTGAAAAAAAATATCTCAGTATTTTCAGTGGTAACCATTTGGTTACCAACTTTCTTCAGATTATCTTCTTTTGTCTTCTGCAAAGTCATACAGAGTTGGAATGGCATGAGTAATAACAAAAATTCAATTTTTTGAATGATTGAATTATCCCTTTAAGACACAAAAAAACAATGAGGATGTTTGAAATCTCATTTAGGGTGAACATCAAACTTGAACAGATAAAAATGGTAAATGTTTACTAAAAAAATTGAATTGAATTTGTTTATATAAATGAGTATAAAACAGGTTTCCTGAAATCTTGCCCTGGAGGGCCAATGCGCTGCAGAGTTTAGCTCCAACCCTGATCAAACTCACCTACCTGTGATTTTCTAATGATCCTGAAGACATTGATTAGCTTGCTCAGGTGTGTTTGATTAGGGCTAGAGCTAAACTCTGCAGGAAAGTGGGCCAGATTTGAGGATCCCTGGTATAAAACATATATTGAAAAAAAATAATTTTTTACTTGATAAAATCTTATTTAGATAAAACTATTTGCACTAACATTTTAAAGTAAATTTGACTGCTCCTGCTGTGTACAATTTACCTGTTATTGTCGAGTAAAATCTACTTATATTGAACTTAACATTCAGAAAGAAATTAAGTAAATATTACATCATTTTATTTAATATAACATATAGAATTAATTAAAATCTACTTACCTAAGTAAAGTAAATTGATCAAAGATAATAAATAACTTCAGCTTGGCCAGTAAAAGTTTGCATAATTTTTACTTAGTCAAAGCTCACATGGCAATACTTTGATTTTATTCAATATAGCATTAAACCATGGTTTTAAAGTGTATGTTTTACTCAGAAACATCTAAGTAAATAATGCAATAAATATTATTTAGAAACCATATCTACGTGATTAGTAAAGCAGCCCTCACCCGAACACAGAGACTTCAATACACAATGCACAATGACAGTATATGATGGGAACACCAGTATCAGAAAAGTTGAGTAGGTTTTACTTAAAATGCTATTTTATGCTATTTATGCTTTAATTTCTACAAGCTTGAATTGAGTACTAATATAGAATTTACTTTGTTTGTTTTTTTAAATTACTGCCTGAACTAACTTTTCATGTAGAAATTTGATTTGTTTTTCTGTAGTATTTACTTCACCACAGAATCATTTTTATCAGTGTATTAAAGATCAGCATCATATAAATAAAAAAGAGGTGTATCGTTTTTTTTGTTCAGTTCAAACCATCTGAATGAACTGTGTTGCTTCTGATATACGCCAATGCTACAAGTGACTGTCATGTGTGTTTACATGAGTCCACCTTGAGTCATGCTTAGACAAGTACACATAAAGACAGCAGCTTAGAGTCAGGTTGCCATTTCTTGAGAGCTGCTGCTCATCAGAGGGAGGCTGGGGAAAGGTCATCTGACACGTCAAACTCGCCATCTGGGCTCTGTCCTCTATAATACATGAAGAGACACTTGCCTGCCACATGTTCCCACCTGTGGGTTTACTGTACATCTTATATATACCTTATACCTCTCACTAGCTACTAGTGATGTTAGGTTCTTGAACGAATCGTTCTTTTGAGCCGGTTCTCAGGAAGTAACCGGTGTGCATCAATGTCTGTAAGGTGTGAAACTTTTAGGGATCTTATCCGAGTTGTAGGCTAGTCAATATTGCTCAGTCAGTCGTATCTGACATAAAGGATCAGCGAATGAAACTGTGACCACAAACACCATTAACTTAAGTGAATTATATGGCAATAATCAGCAATATGCTTTCACACAAATAAATGTTGTTCTATAGAATTCCAAATCCTTCCAAAATAATCTCGAGTAAATACAATGAAAAAAAATATGCAAAATAGTTTCTTTTTCTTGACCACAAAATTCACAGGTATACGAAATATTAAGCTTAAATCTTTCCAAAACATGCTTAGCAGGATAAATTCGATGAAGTATTTTGTAAGACACTTCCTTAATTTTGTTATTGATACAAAACTTATTTGGCAGTTTCCATGCTTTAACCCAAGAGATATTACCAAATAAAGAAGACCAAAAAAATCTTGCTGCAGGTAGGGACACAGAACAAAGAGCATTCCTTATAATCTTATTGCTACACTGTTGTTTTAAAACGTTGACATTTTCAATGAAAATGTTACCACAAGGATTAACCATGCTGATTTCTTCTGAGATGCAGTTTTTTAAAAGTAACATCACACTCTTTGGAATTGCGTCAAAAACAATAGCAAATTCTCTTGGTTTAACTGGTAATTGGAATTTCTGAAGAAATTCAGTATACGACAACAAGTACCCATGGGAATTAACTAACTGTCTTACTAAAAGAATACCTTCCTTGAACCAATATGATAGAATAAAGATTTGTTTTTAAATAATATGTCCTTGTTATTCCATATGAAATAGTTGTGGGGTGAAAAATTGTGCTTATACATCAATTTCCATGCTAGCAGGGCTTGTCTGTGAAAACCGGCCAATTTAACAGGAATTTTATCAACAGAAAAATTACATTTCAACAAAAAGTCTATGCCTCCAAGAGTATTAAATATATAATTAGGAAATACATTCCAAGGACTTTCTCTATTCTTCATAAACTCTATCAACCATTTAATTTTAAAAGTGTCATTGAGAGTATTATAATCTAAGACCTCCAGTCCCCCTTGCTCTTTAGGATTACAAATTACCTCCTTTTTTAAATAATGTGTTTTTTTTTCTGCAAATAAAGTTATAAAGAATCTGATCTAGATCTTTCATAATCTTGGGAGGCACTTCTAACGATAATGATATGTAGACAGATCTAGATATACCTCCCGCCTTTGACAATAATACCATCCCAAATATTGAGATGTCGCTCATTAACCACAAATTAAATTTCTTTTTAGTTTTCTCAATAATGGGTTCAAAATTTAACTGACTCCTATATTTTTTATTTTGACAAATTATTACACCTAAATATGTTAATTTATGTTTAACTGGAATATTCTCTATTTCTGAAGAGGAGCAATCTTTGAGGGGAAATAATACAGATTTATCTAAATTAATTTTAAGGCCTGAAACACCTCAATATATCTAATTATTTTTGGTACTTCAAATTTGTTTCTCAAAAACACTGTAGTGTCATCAGCAAACTGGCTAAGTTTAATCTGTACACCTAAAGCTGTGATACCATTAAATTGATTTCTTTTTATATGCGATGCTAAAACCTGAGTGACTAACAAAAATAAAAAAGGAGAGAGAGGGCATCCTTGCCTAATGCCACGATGAATATCAAATCTTTGTGAGGTACCATGAGCAAGTTTGACAGAACTATTACATCCACGATACAATGTTTGAACTGCTTTCAAAAACATATTTCCAAAACCAAACAATTTAATAACTTTGAAAATAAATTGATGAATCACCGTATCAAATGCTTTATAGAAATCAATCAATAAAATAAAACTATCATTCTCAATAAAGTGATTATAATAAATCATATCTAAGACTAGTCTAATATTATTCCTGATATGACGGCCTTGCATAAACCCAGACTGTTCTATATCAATTATTTTGTCTAAACCTTGCTTCAGTCTTCTAGCAAAAATCATTGCAAACAATTTACTGTCATTATTTAATAAACTAATAGGCCTCCAATTTTCAATGAATAACTTGTCTTTATTAGGTTTGGGAATCAGTGTTATAATTCCTTGTTTTAATGAAACAGGCAATTCACCATTTTGTATAGCTTCTACAAATACTAACAATAAGAGAGGTGAAAGTTCTTTAGAAAAAGTCTTATAAAATTCTCCGGTTAGCCCGTCGTTGCCTGGAGATTTGTTATTCTTTAATAAGTTAATGCATTCTCTCAACTCTTCAATGTCTATTTCTTTATCACAAATATTTTGAAAGTTCTGGTCTATTTTTTTGGTATCACTCACCAAGCTATTTAAAAAAGTATCAATGTTGGAAGTAGCTGATATGGGTGAATACAAATTACTAAAAAACTGAGCAACATATTTCGAAATAACTGAGGAATTATCTACTAATTTGTTGTTAATCACTAATTTCGAAATAGAGGCAAAATCATAGTTTCTTTTTTCGAGGCCAAAAAAATATTTTGTATTTTTTCCCCCTTTTTCTAACCATTTAAGTCTAGTTCTAATAAATGCTCCTCTTGTTTTATCCTCATAGATCTTATCTAATTCAATTTGCAATAAATCTAATTTTTGTAACCTACAATCAGTCAAAGATTCCTTTTTCTTTTTACACAAATTAAAAATATCCTCAATAATTGATTTTTCCTTTAATATTTTTATTTTTGTTTCCAATTTTCCTTGATTAATAAATGCCATTCTAATATCAAACTTCATTAATTCCCAATACTTCCATATGATTTTTCTAAATTTGCATTTGTTCTATATTTTTCAATAATACCTTTAATTTGTTCCTTTAAACATTCATTTTCAAGCAATTTGTTATTTAATTTCCAATACACTCTAAAAAAATGCTGGGTTGTTTCAATGGACTAACCCAGCCATTTGGTTAAATTTTTACATTAAATTTTTAACCCAAAAGTTGGGTTAGTCCATATTTGACCCAAAGTTGGGTTGAAACAACCCCATGTTTTTTGACTGATTTTTCTTGTACCATATTTATTTTTTATAAATATTCCTTTATGATCCATCATTATGCAAGGTTCTATCAATACAGAGGTCACATTATTAGTTAAATCATTAGACACTAACCAATAGTCGATACGAGAATGAAGAGATGAGTCCTTATTACTCCATGTACAGTATATTCTTCCCTGTCTGGATTCTTACATCGCCACACATCAATAAGACCCAATCTTAAACATACATTATCCAGTTCACTAGAAGGGCCTGGTCTAGTTTTAGGAGGCCATCTATCAATGGTTTCATTAAACACAGTATTGAAATCTCCTCCCCAAATAACTTGGGCTGAAGGATATATGGAAATAAAATGCTGAATCCTAGACTAAATATTTGAAAAAAGTATTTCGTTGTTCACTTTGTTATTAGTGGCATAACAATTGACTAGCCTACAAATTGTTCGTTATCCTTATCTAACACAAGCAATATCCATCTACCACAATCATCTTTTTCGTAGTTTAATATTTGCCGTGTAAATTTATCTTGTAAAATGGCGACCCCCGCTGAGCGGTTGCTGCCATATGACAACCAAATCTCTTTTCCCCACTGATTTTTCCAAAACACAGCATCTGAAGAACATGCGTGCGTTTCCTGAATTAAACAAAAATCTACACTTTTCCCTTTGCAATACAAAAATAAAGCTTTCCTCTTCAAAAGATCACGAATACCTCTGGCATTGATAGAAAATAAAGAAAGAGACATAAACGTTCAACGATTACTTAAAGAACCACAAGAGTAAATATAATCCTTGTTAGAAAAGAAATGCGTAGAGACGTTATTGCTTGATGACGTCAGGAACCGATGAATCGGCTTTTTGAACCGGTTCAATGAGCCGATCTGTCCGAAAAGAACCGGTTCGCGGAAATGAATCGGACTTTGCATCACTACTAGCTACATTAACATGCAAATCCATAAGAAATCGGACTGATGGATGAATCGGATTGAAGGGCTGCCTTATAAACACCTCAGTCTATCTGACTGAACTTGAGCCGAGTGAAATTTTGATGGGATAGGAAGGGGTGGTGGTGTAGATGTGAAATATTTGGATTAATCAAGCATATAAATGGTTGACTCAATTGGATTTAAAATACTATTGATTATACTTTGAAATTGTTAATGATACTATTGGTCCCCCCTGTAATGATTATTTTGGTTTCTCCCATTTCTACTGAGCAACTGATTGGGGGGTGTAGCGCTTTAGTGGGTTATCTAGGAGACCTGAGTTCCGGGTCACAGTGTTGCCAATTTAGCTACTTTGTAGCTAGATTTAGCGACTTCCCCACCCCTTTTGAGACTTTTTTCAAAAGTTTAGGGACAAATATAGCAACTTCTTGGACAAACCTTATCTAAGTTCTCATCTTGCCCACTGATCTACGTTCATCTTTATATAGATCAGTGAATTTGCCATTGTGATGTCATCTAGTCACATTTAGCTACCAGTTTTAGCTACTTTCAATTGAAAGCAGTTTGCAACACTGCTGATTATATCTACACCTGTGACTAATTTTGTACTTGACACACTCTGAGGAAGGCTGGATGGCCGAAATGCGTCTGTGCAGTGTTTTAGTCATTTTTAATGTTTCTAGAGTGAGCCATGTTTGAATAAAGGCTTTTTAACATTTTGGAACTGGAAGAATTGCCTTGGATCCGTAGTTTCTATAGATATAATTTTGAACCCAACCAAAGAGCACCTTCTGGGACTATTAAACAGAGGTCCTTTCAGCAAGAAGCTCTCCAAGATGTTTTCTTTGAGATACTATTTTCTCAATCGGATCAAAAAATATTTTTTGCACATGCGCAGTGCCATGATCCACATATTTACTTACATTTTACATCTTAAGGGCCAGCCACACTACACTTTTCATTCCATTTTCTTTATGAATTTTGCTGCGTTCCAAAGTGCAAGTTTGGTGAAAATCTGACCTGTGAATTTGTATCACATGAAGACATGTGACCAAGAGAAGATCAGCGTGACCTCTAAAACTGCAATGCTGCAGTAAAGAGTAGATTGTACGTCTTTTTACATTTTGGATGTATTACGTTTTTAAAAAGATGCCACATAAAAAAAAGATGCCAGAGTGTGACAAATCGATATATATGTGATATATTACGACTGTAGGTGTCAGTAGAAATTTTGCATGCTCAATGTCTAGTGTGACTGCAACTTTAAGAACGTGTCTCTGTTTCTTGTCATCTTTCAAACTAGTCAGTTGAGGAGACTGAATAATTGCTAAAATAGTGCTTCCGACATATATGTCAGGTGTCTTTTTAGTTATTATAAAGGCAAAAATGACATACAGTAACATTATTGCGGTGACTTTCTTTGGTTCTGAACGTGGTGACTGAGTGCATGCACTGAAGTTTTGTTCAGAATACATGTAATGCACATATTAACAATATGTGAATGGGGTTGTAAAGTTTAGGGTTCACATATAAACAGAACTTTAAGAATGTGAAATCGGACTGACAAAAAATGAGTGCATGTTAACCAGCAGTGTGCAGTGCTGTTCTGAAATGAGGAGGCAAAGTCCTCACAAAGTCCTCTTTTTCTTTAGAAAAACAAGTGATTCATACACTTTTTAATTATATATTTTGTAGTATTGGCATTGTTTTATTTTTGTACTACAAATTTTTTCTCATCCAATTTTTTTTGAGGAGGCACTGCCTCCGAAGCCTCCATGCAGGAAACACCCCTGACGTAAACATACTTTACACTTCACTGAAATGAGCTGTAAACTTGAAGTGGCTTGATAATTAATGTTGGTTAAAGAAGGGATGTATGTTATGTTGTTAGTTTATTGATGCAATGTCTAAAATGTGTTATTGGTGCAGGTGTGTGGACTGCCACACAGGAACTGGGGCCACGCCACTGTATTTGGCCTGTCAGGAGGGACATCTGCATGTGGTTGAATACCTGGTGAAGGACTGCGGTGCAAACGTCCATGTGCAGGCCAAAGATGGCATGAGTGTGTTGCATGCAGCTGCCCACAATGGACACTATGCCCTGGTGGTTTGGCTGGTGAGTTACAGCTGCTTCAGTCACTTTTTATTGAATATATTTAAGTATTATATAAGAGTTAACTCTAACTCTGTCTCTGATGTGGATCTTCAGGCCTCCTTCACAGATCTGGATCTGTCCTGTCAGGATAAGGATGGAGCCACAGCACTGCACTTCGCCGCTTGCGAGGGCCACCATCGCATTGTGGAGTGTCTTTTACTCATGGGAGCAGAAGTCCTGAAAGACCTCTGGGGTGGGACCCCCCTGCATGATGCAGCGGAGAATGGAGAACTGGAGGTGTCTGTCACCGTTCCTTTAGTTCCAATCACAAATCCTTACCACGAACGCTCAGAGGGTTATACAGTTTAAGTAGTGTTTGAAATGCTTTCACAGAGGTTTTGAATGACAGCCCTAATCTCTTGTTCCCTCAGTGCTGCCGAGTGCTGCTGAATAATCACATCAGTCCACTGGAGAGAGATTCAGATGGGTTTACTTCAGGGGATCTGACAGAATACAATGGCTATCATGACTGTGCCAACTTCCTCCGTGATGCCGATGCTCATGTAAGATACTTAGTACTTTCTTCAGCACAACTTATTTAACTAAAAGCACATTTTTAATTAGATGTTTTTATTTTCGCTAATTTATATAGTTCTCTTCATTGTCATGCAGTTTCTTGAATATACCATATACACACTCATGTTCAAATTTTTGGGGGTCAGTATGATTTTAATTTAATTTTTTTTTTTTTTTTGAAGAAATGAATACTTACATACAGCAAAGATGCATTTAATTGATCAAAAGTGACATTAAGACATTTTTAATATTCCAAAAATAAATCCTGTTCTATTAAACCTTTTATTCATCAAAGTATCCTGAAAAACAATTATGGTTTCCACAAAAAATATTAGCAGTTCAACAATTAAAATAAGATGAAATGATAATAAGAAATGTTTAAGCACCAAATCATAATGATTCAAAAATTCAGCACTGCATCACAGGAATAAATTACATTTTAAAATATATCACCCTAGAAAAAAACTATTTAAAATTGTAATAATATTTTACAATAATACTGTTTTCACTGTATTTTTGATCACATAAGTGCAGCCTTTGTAAGACATTTTTCAAAACCATTAAAAAAATCGTACCTTCCCCAAACAAAAGGTAGCGAGTATGTGTATGTGTATGTGAAAATTAAAATAAAAGGGAAAAAGAAAAATGTAATACAGAAAAAAAGTACAGAGAAATTAAACTTATACAATACAATACAAGTTTATTTGTATAGCACAAAAACAACTGGTGTTGACCAAAGTGCTTTACAAGGCTAAAAGAAACAGGCAACAAAGACACAAAGCATTAGAGAAACAATAAAAGTAAGATTAAAAAAAAGCCTAAAATAAGATAAAATAGAAGAGAAAAGCTTGAATCAAAAGATATTAAATGCTGATGGGAATCAAGGGATATTGAAAGCCACGGAAAAAAGGTACGTTTTCAAGGCGAATTTAAAATTTGACAAGGTTTGGGCGGATTTGATGTGAGCCAGAAGGCTATTCCATAACTTAAGGCCTGATGACCGCAAAAGTGCGATCACCCCTGACTTTAAGTCTAGTTCTAGGAGCATATAATAGATCAGAGTCCCCAGATCTGAGTGATCTAAACTGTGAAGGCGAATGTAGTAGTTCAGATAGGTACTGTGGTGCCTGGTTCTGCAAAGACTTCAAAACAAATAACAAAACTTTAAAATCAATTCTGTATTTGACCCGTAACCAATGAAGTGAAATCAGAACCGGTGTGATGTGTTCACTTTTATACGCTTCCCTTTGTGGAGCCAGGCTGTGGCATTTTGAGCTAACTGTGAGAATTAGAGAAGAACTTAAAGGGATAATTCACCCAAAAATGAAAATTCTGTCAGTAATTATTCAGCTTGTCTTACTCACCATGTCCTTCCAAACCTGTAAGACATACGTTCATCTTCGGAACACAAATTTGGATATTTTTGATGAAATCCAAGAGCTCTCTGACCCTGCATAGACAGCAAGGGTACAACCATGATCAAGGCACAGAAAGGTAGTATGGACATCGTTAAAATAGTCCATGTGACATCAGTGGTTCAACCGTAATTTTATGACGCTACAACAATTCTTTTTGTGTGTGCAAAGAAAACAAAAACAATGACTTTATTCAACAATTCTTCTTTGCGTCACCCTCAGGCGCCATTTTGGAGAGTATCACGATGCATGCCTGTGCTTTTCCTGCATGTAAACAACGCATGCGTGTGGTACTCTCCAAAATGGTGCCTGAGGGTGACGCGGAGGAGAAGAATTGTTGGATAAAGTTGCTATTTTTGTTTTCTTTGCGCACAAAAAAGTATTCTTGTAGCTTCATAAAATTACATAATTTTCATTTTTGGGTGAACTAAGCCTTTAAGGTAAGTTATGGTTACTGTGTCAATGTTACACATTTAAAATTCAAATTTACCCTACCTGGGTGAAAGTAAAAGTTTTTCCACATTTAAAAACAATATACTTAAGTATAGCAATTAAGTAGACCTACTTTGATATCCATGAATATTGCATACATTGACAGCTGATGATGTGGATTTTTGGTAATACTCCACCTTGTGATAGCAAACTGTTACTGCCACCTACTGGCAAACACACATAAATATACAGTATTTGAGCTAGTAAAATAGTAGCTCATATTGGCTGAGTCATGCTACAAAATAGAGGACAAGGCACAAATATTAAAGTGCATTTATTAAACCACACACTGAGTCATTCCTGCTGAAGAACCTCTCCATTATTTATCAGATATGGGACAGGATATTCTTCACAGGAACATCCTATTCAGAAGGCTGAACAGATACCACTAATCCCTTAATAATGAAGGCATTAATAATTTGATTATAATTTGATGCACATCTGCTGGGAGTAAAAGTGTTGACAAGTATTTGTTTATTCTTGTGGAGAATGCTGTCATATGGGACAATTAGAAAAAAAAGTCTAATTTAATGAAATCTAATGATTTAGTTGTATATCCCTGGTCCTTTTCGTGCATTTTTAGAATGAATATTTAGTGTGGATGAACTCAAATGGATCACTTTATGTCCCCCCCCCCATGTCATCCACCATTTGTGAGATGAACAAAAGTTCAGAAGTCCAGTCGTGAGAATTCAGTGATGCACAAGACGTCTGATACGGTATGAAACACCAATACGCTATACATAATTCGCTGAATACTTATATTTCAGCTCCGCCTCCACTGTCACTCCAATGCAAAAGGGCATCAGATACGTCATTGGTTCATAAATGAAGTGGAAACTATGCAAGCGTCAGCCTTTCTTTTGATAGCATAACTACGATAGCATATTAAAGGGGTCATATGATGCGATTTCAATTTGTCCTTTCTCTTTGGAGTGTTACAAGCTCTTGGTGCATAAAGAAGATCTGTAAAGCTGCAAAGACTAAAGTCTCAAATCCAAAGAGATATTCTTTATAAAAGTTAAGAGTCAACCACGCCTACCTAAAACGGCTCGTTCTAACACGCCCCAACATA